TGAAGCCCCGCCCACTGTTTAGCGCGCTGCAAGAGAAACTGACTGGCTGTCAGGAGAGAGAGGGAGAGGGAGGGAGAGGGGAAAAAAGAGGATCCGTTTCTCCCGTGTTATTATTCAAAGTTAATGTAAACTTTTGAAGAATGTACTTCATCAACTACAAGTAGTTTCTTTGAATGTAATAATTATGTTGTTTGTGGAATCATTTATTGAAAAATTAATCTGAATTTTTTGATCTGTTATGACTTTAAACTGAAGCAATATAAAAATGACTCCCATTAACTGAGTTTTAAACATCAGCATATCCGGTAATTACCTGCTAATGGAAACTCTGCTACACAATTATTATTATTATTATTGAAACATGACCGACCGGTAAGTTTCAAATGTGTCCAGTAAAATAAATTCTGTCTGGACATTTGACCGGCGAGAAAAAAATCCTAGCGGAAACCCTGATATATATATATATATATATATATATTAATTGCAACTAATATATATCTACTGTCCCTTTTCACATTGAACATGTGCTCTTTTATTAAAAGGTCCCATATCATGGCCATTTCTACTGATCATAATTCCATTGTTGTGGTATACTAGAATAGATTTAAATTGTGCAATTTTCCAAACTCACATTGGTTTCTCATACAGCATCTCTAAACAGCTTGTTGGAGCTCCTGCTCCCCCCTTATTGTAAGTCGCTTTGGATAAAAGCGTCAGCTAAATGCAATGTAATGTAACTAGGCTAAGACTAAGCAACAGTTGATACTTGACAGAAGGAAAAAGCCTTCCTGTGTATCTCTAAAGAAGAATGCAGCAACAAGGAAGAGCAATATGAGGAGTCTGGCATCCCCACCGCAGCAAACATGACAGAAATGCTTCCTTCCACTGTCCCTAACAAAACACACATGAGATCTTGTCAGTTTCGGGTGTGGCTGGCAGGATATCATATCTCCCACCGACTCTCTCCCTTTTTCCTGTGAGACATGGACGAGGGGGATGATCGGGACAACGTTTAAACTAGTCAAGCTTAGATTTTCACCAACAGTGGGGAAATCAGGCTAACTATAATGCAGTGAAGTAAATTGTACCATGAACAACAGAAATAACACAATTTACATTATTAACATAATGTGGTGCTATGTCAGGTCTGACAAACCGAACAGGACAACTTCTGCAGGATATGACTGATTACCGGGGGAGAGTCATAGAGTATAGGGGTTCAGGAATTACATATTTTTATAGACCGACTCGTAAGATAGCATTGCAACAAACAGAATGGAATTTTCATTGGAATTTGGGTTATGGTTACAAACATTTATGACAGTTACACATGTGAACAATCTCCACATATAAACCAACTTTCAGATTTTTTAAGGGCAAACGTAATCGCCAGACCTAAATGTTAGGATAATAACAAACTACATGACAGTCACATGACTTCACAGTCACTAAACTAAAGGCGCATATTGTTCGACATTATGACATTTATTAGTTTCTATTCTTCACTTGTTAGCTAGCAATCAGAGTTTTTAAGACGCATAGAAGATTCAGACATTCATCAGTGTGGTATTAACGGAATTATTCATGTAGTACAACAAAATGTTAAAATGATTTGTGCTGCTAATCAAAAACACGTTAAAAAAACCATTGAATTCAAGACAAGCCAATCGGAGGTGATAAAATGCCGACTCGTTTCAGGGTTTAGGACACACTTTTTGCATCTCTTTTTTTTTTTAAACGAATAAACAATAAAGAGTCTCCTTTTAATATTTTGTTGGCTACTTTGAAATACTTTTCTTAATTGTCAAGGCCACTTCAGTGTCGGTTAACTGTATCTTAAACATCTACAGTTATCTAGGGTCACACCCAGATTCCTTGCAACCAAACTTTTCTAGTTTACTCTCATATATGACAAAAACAATTGTAATGAGGTTACATATTTTCTACAAAGGATACAGCCCCACCTCTGGATATTAACATGTCTAATTTCTAAGAGCATTGAGAATGTACAGGATATGCTTATACACAAGAGTATTTTAGCAGCCTGTGGGTTTTAATGTGGACTTTGATACGAGAGCCATTCAACATGAAGAGTTGCATGTAATGATTTATCCTTTTTTTTTTTTAATAATTCATCCATTACTTTTCCAAGTCATTATTACATACATACATGCATTTATCTATACTCATAATGTGCTCTGTCCTGGAATATCTGCTGTAAAGCCTGATGAGCAGGAGGACATTCTCTAGCATTTCTACTTCATATGTCATTTCATTAGCAAACCACAGAAAACACATATTTTCCTGCCAGATAATGTGTTGCACATTGAGAGAGGTAATACAGGAATCAAGTTAACAGTTAACAGCACTAAACACAGCGTGACAGTCTGGGCCCAGTGCTCGGTTTGAAGTTTAAGAGCAAGGGACGGCTCTCGGACATCTCAACGGTGTAGGGCTGGATAAATTACCTTTCCATTTCAAAGTTTTTTCTTTGAACACAACAATAGTACAGTCCCACCTGTATATTTGCACTGCCTACAAGACCTGAGAAAGATGAGAAAAGCTCTGCTTTGCTCAAAACTAATCTAGATTTCATTGCTTGCACTACTTTGGGAGCGGCCATTTGTTTTGCCTCCATAATAGTAACAGGTGGACTTTACCATGCAGGTGTACTAGCCCCAAGTCTCCTGAGAACAAAGGCTTTTTGTTTGGCTAGTGCGGTGCTGCAGGTGGTGTTGGAAGGACTCCGCATGTCCTTCAGCAGCGTGCTGACCTCATTATGGGACTTTTTGCTGCTTTTGCTCAACAGTATATTCAAATGTTGTCTGTTGAAATAATCATTCAAAAATTCAATGAGGCAGGAGAACTAATATATATTTACAGCGTACTGGATGAGCATGCAGCTTAAACAGGATGACTCACATATAAGTCATCACACAGGTACTACATGTGAGCCAACTAAGAAGGTGCTTTGGTTGATTGGAAACCATGTGATAATGGCTGTAAAATGTAGTTTTTATCCTACATTTTGATGTACATTTTCCTGAAACTAGCCAAACCGGTGAAACGCGTCTTGCTCATGCACCCCCCCCCCAAATACACCAGTTACTCACTCCTGAAACCAGACCGTTGAGTCAGCGGGCTTACGGACATACCTGCTAGAGACACACCTTGCTCCAGTTCCGTAATTATGCAACACTCTCTGCAACTACTATTCACCTGGTGATGTTAGAAGAAAACGTCACAGTTGGATATGTACACAGTTGGTTTATCCATCAACTTCAATTATTTTCTTTCCTGGACTGTTCCTCAAGTCGCCATTATTATTAGTGATGGAAAAAAACTAAGTACATTTACTCCAGTACTGTACTTAATTAGAATTCTTTATACAAGACTTTACTTGAGTATTTCAATTTGCTGCACCTTTACCAGCTTTGATAACACTTTAATGCATCAATAATTATAAAACATATCATATATATTATTCTAAAATCGACCAATTTGCATAATGAATATTTTTACTTTTGGGACCTTAAGTATATTTTGATGCTAATACTTGTGTACTTTTACTTGATTAACATTTTCAATGCAGGATTTCTATATTTTTATACTTATAACAGAGTATTCCTACACTGTGGTCATTCTACTTTTACTATAGTACAAGATCCGAGTACTTCTCCCCTCTCTGGTTATTATGCATAGGTGTGCTGACGCCTACAGAAGCTAGTGTTGCTAGGTCTCATTGTTTACTGTAGGTTTATAGTAAACAACAAGCTAACCAGCAGTCATCAAACCCAAATACGACATTAGATACAACCTCATCCATTCCACTGAGAACAAAAAGGCGTTTTAAAAAGTCAGAGTTTCAAGTGATTCAGGCAATGTGATACTTTCGGAATGAAAGTTATTCACAAAAAAAACTAGTAAAGCTCATTACAAAGCCGTACACATACATCATTGGGATATGTTTGGGAGATAAATTAGCAGGTGTCTTAAAGAAACTCATGGAAGTTGAACTTAGACAAACACAATTGTGTGAGTTGCTATAATGCAGAATATAATAATATGTATGTATAAAAGCTAACACTTAAGACTTTTAAATATGCACGTTAACCTAATTTATAAGAGCTGCCTGAATCCTGGAGGAACATCAGTGAGTAAAGATTAGCCAGCTAGCCAGAGCAATGGAAGACTGGTGTCTGGCTAGCAACTTTAGTTAGCTTGAGTTGTAGGCGTTCACAACTAAAACACTGGTGGCTGTAAAAAGATTCATTGTTAGCCGATTTGCTAGCAAGCAAACACCTGTGGGGTAACTCTCAACCCACCTGATTCAGAAGAGCCGTCGCTCAGCAGAGGTCCACAGTTCACAGCCGCTGGAGAAGAGTCCACACCCGGCCAGTGTCCGGTGCTTTAGTTCGCCAAGAGCTCCCTCCTCATATAAAGTGGTGGAAAATGTTACCAGGACGTAAACCTGTATTGTTGGTTTCAAAGGCAGCTTATTTGCCAAGGAAATATCACGACTCACCCCGGTTAAAGTGTAAAAGTGGGATTGGTGCTCTTTCTTTTCGCACCGCTGCGGTAGCCTCGGTGTTTCCTGCTAAGCTAAACTTCACTGTTTTGTTAACTCCTCCCTTGTGATACATTCAAGTGCACCTCGTTAAACTCAACTCCTTGCGAAGTCCCGCCCCACTTCCGCGTTTGCTTCCGTTCCAATATCTTTCCTTGGTCTAGCAGTCAGTCTTTCTAAAACATAGTATGCTACTGTATCTGCTTTAGTATTTATTTCTGTGACTGCACATATATACAGTCTTTAACCTGCACGATGTTTACGACAAAAGGAATTCCCAGAAGCATTATATTATCCTTTTTTACTATGGTAAAAAAAGGCTTATTTTTTTATTTAAATAATATTGCTATTGCTAATTTAATTTTCATAAATGCAAACTCTCTGGAATGAAACCTAATATTCAACAATTAAAGAAGGAAAGGAAATTATATTCTGTAACACAAATGATTTATTAACCAAAACCAAAAGAAGCAGCCAGGACAGGATCATCATCATCATCCTCATCGTCATCATCATCATCATAATCATCAAACATTTATGTATGCCTTTCCTCTTGTTATTCTGTTAATCATTATATCCCGTATTCTAGCTATTAAAGCCGGTAGTGTACAGTGGTTTAGTTGATGCATGTTGCTGCTGAAAATTAAGTTGATAAGAATGCTGAAACTACAAATCAAATATGATTTTAGTTTTAAAACTAAAACAACAAGCCTGCACAGACTGTGAAAATAATCACTACCAGAGACCCTTTCACAATATTATATCGACATGATGTTAATATTCAAAATGAAACAAAGAAAAATGTCCTTATAAAAAAGTCCATATAAGACTATATAAGACTGTTTTTCAAAATACATGTAAGACGTTATGATACAAAGAGTTGCTGCAATCTCATAATAAAAAGTCACCATAGCAATGCTTTACTGTGAAGACACTTTTAATAGTTTTAATTGAGAAGAAAAACCAAATATGAAATGCTGTATATATGCCTATGAAAAAGGAATGAGTCAGAGATGTGTTGATAAAGGTCAGGGCAGACTGAGGACCCGAGCTCCCTCTGAAGGAGTTGTGACGTAGAAAGTCGGGGTTCCACTGTATCGCTCCTGTAAAACACACAAACATACAACACAAACACAATGAGAACATTAACCCAATGGTACTTCTGAAAAACAACCCCCTAATGTGAGTGTTAAGCATTAAAGCTGCATCTGAACATACTGTTGTCAAGAATGTAATTACAAAATATGAAACATGACTGTCCATCCAGAAGAGCTGCAGACATTCATGCATCTCTCAAAGTCCTGGACAGAAAGTGAGAAAAAGGGGTTTTGATTTACAACCCGACAAATTCCTTTTAAAATGTGACCTATTTTATACATTCTATGGCCGAGATACAGCAAACTAGTTACACATTACAGTACGTCCATAAATCATCTGACAATGTAATTCCAAGCCCTCCCACCAGGAGTGAGCACATGAGTAGTATAAGTACAGATTTATTTGAGAGAACATGGCAAAAAAGTAACCCAAAAAGTGGAATTTTATTTTTTCCATTCATATCAATATTGAAAAAGGCCAGCAATAACTTTGCCTTTAAAATCAAAACTATGTCAGTCACATAAAAACTGAGAGACAAAATATAACTGTATTTATGTTGAAGGTGTAGGATTTGTTGTTGTAAAAGGGGTTAGAGTGTACTGTGGCGACTACGCTTCCTACACCACCTCAAAAGTCTAACTACACATCGGGGCTGTGGCTTCAGAGATAACATGTGTGGACACAAGGCCAAACTTTTTGAAAAACACACTTATTTGCTTATTTAAAGTCGGATGACACTCTCTTGTCTTAGTAATAACTGGAGCAAGAGTTGCAAGCTTATTTTCTCAGCTTAGCATAAAGCCTGGAAACAGACTTCAGATCTGTTAGTAATCAGCTGTTCACAGTGACCGAAGGGTCCGCTGGCTGCTGGACATCCTGAAGGTGGGACGAGGGTCCAGAAAGTCATTGTGTTCGGAGAGAAATATTTCAAGCTAATTACGCCATGTCTGCTTCAAAATGTTTCAGGAGGTAAAACAACAACATTAGACATTTGTTAGGCCTCAAGAAAAACACACGAAGACAAAAGAGTGCTACTACTCAGCATAGTTTATATTGCAGTAAATGAACAATATATTTCACAGGTGGATCTAAAGTGTTGTGTTGGACGTAGAAGAAAGCGCTAACCCAGATTTAACACAATTTGTTATCCATTATGGTTAACACTATGACCTTGTGACAGACACAGAGACCGACGAAAACATATATTTCCGTATTATTTCAAACACCCCATATTAAAGGCTAACCTCAACCCTAACCTACTGGATTCACTGGTTCAATTGTGTCAAGAGAGATCAAACCCTATTTCATCCACTTGGCATGTTCTGTTTTTCTTTACTTGATGTCCTTGGCGCAGATCTTAGCATTTGATAAGACGAAGCGAGGTGCAGTTGAGGATTTCCACAGGATCAGGCGTCACCAGATCCAGCTTGAAGCCTTCAGCCAAAGACAACTTCAGCAGCTCCTCCACAAAGCCCTGCATGTCTGTGATCTCACGGTGCGCGTTGATGATGTCACCTGACTGCGTGACATCGGCGTTACACACCGTTAGCCCCTGGTAGCGCTGCTTGTTGTACTGCTCCTGCGGGAGCTCCTCGGGCCGCGGCACCCACTCCAGTTTCAGCCGGTTCTGCCTCGGGTTGCATGGATGGGGGCTGGTGAGACCTTTGGAGGTTTTGTAGGAGAAGCGCTCACAAAGAAGGGCCATGAAGGCTCTCCAGGTACAGAAGAGCTCCACTGTGAAGGCTGCCACTAGGCATGTGCGCAGCTCGTAGTTCTCCGGCGCGTGGCGTAAGTTAAAGTGAAGAATGCGGACCTGGAAGGAGAGGGAAAAATACGTGACTGCACATTATCCAGAGTGTACACAAAGAACCGGTCTGTCCATGTCTCTGATTGTGCAAAGTCATGCACAAACACCCTCTGCTGACACTGTATGTATGGTAAACATTACCAGACTTCCTAAGGTTGGTGAAGGCCACCGTGATAGGCGCTAAAAAATTCTTATCAATATTTTTAGTCGAGACCGATCACACATTAAAAAAGTGAAATAACAGAGGAGCTAGTCTAATGCTGTAACTGCTCCCTGTTTGAAAGCAATTTTATCGATTTAAAAAAATCTTTATGCATATATGCCATTAAAAACATTGTCATATCACCTAACCCTATATAGGTGTATTGCTTTTAAATCATTCTGACAGGAACCCATCCGATTACACTTATTATGATGAAACACTGAATCATAACAATTGTCTCTATTGTAAACTAATGTTAATTAATATATTATTATCAAACATTTATTAAAACTCAAACAATGGGCCTCATACAAGATCATTGTTATTCTTAAGGATTACTTGAACTTGTGTTCTTAGTCACATTAGCCAAATTCTCTTAACTGGACAATCCTCTTGAAAATATTTATAATAACATCATCATAATAATAATTTAACCCTTTTGTGATATAATAATTTGCATGATCAATGTCTCAAAGTGGCTATATAACCTGTTCCCTCCTGTTTGTAGGAGTGTCATTGTGTGTAAAGTGGTTCTACCATGAGGCCCATTGACTTGTATTGTCAAACAAAAATTGTGCTATTACTTAAAAAAACATACCTTGGACTCCACATTGACCATGATCATGGCTCCTAGGGGCCCCCCTTTGAGGCTGAGAGGCACTGCTGCCTCGTAGCGGCAGAGCTCCTCCAGCAGGGGGCGTATCTGGAAGAAGTCGACCTCCCTCCGCAGCAGTGCCAGCTCTGAGAAGCCATCGGGCAGGTCCAGGGCGCTGGAGCGCAAGTAATTCAGAATGTACCGGAAGACTTTCCCGTCACGGTCGATGAAGACATTACCTCTGCTGTCTCTCAGCACGGGGATCTGCCCGGTGAACATGGCCCCCAGCATGGAGTCTTGGCAGCGGGTCAGAGTGTCCAGGGTGGTGGTGTAAATCTCCCCCCCTACGTTCAGAGACACCGGGTCCTGCAGAGAGCTCCTGTTGCTGTTCTCATCCGATGAGTTGAGGTTGAGCATCCTGGAGGAAAGCTGTGGCTCTTTGTGGTCCTGCGGAGCTTCTCTGTTGTTGTTGGAGGATCCTTCTGCTGTGGTCAGGAATGCTGAGGACTGGGAGATGTGGAGGTTTCAACTGCTTCTTTTGTTTCCAAAAAAGACTTGTCTCCTTTGACAGTTAGCAAGCCGGAGTAGTATCCAGGATACGGCCACGTTAGGAAAGATGTGAAGAAACGTGCCAAGTCTGCTTAAAGCTGACGAAAATCCTTTAAAAACCTGAGTTACAAACATACAACAGGTTGCTGCCCTTTTCCATCGCATTGTTGCCATGCAAATAAGTCATCCCTATTAATGCAGGTGTCTCCCGTGATTTTCAGCAGTAAATGCACATGTTTGTTGAAGTTTCTCAAACAGCAGGCCCACAGTCTGAGAGCAGAAAGGAAGGAGGGCCACAGTGACCGGACTAGCATGCTAATAACTGGACACTTGTGGCTTCACGAAGCTCGCTTTTATTCTCGGTTCATACCACCCCGATCGCTCGCTCGCTCTCTCACACACACACACACACACACACACACACACACACACACACACACACACACACACACACACACACACACACACACACACACACACACACACACACACACACACACACACACACACACACACACACACACACACACACACACACACACACACACACACTGGAGCTGCCTGAGCAAGACACTGGGGACTGAGCAATTTGTCTGAAATGCATCCCTTAAAGTGACAGACGGACTGAAAGTGCCATTTATCCACGGTGAAGAATTGAACAATGGCCTCAGGCCCTTTTGATTTTAAATACCCTTTGGAAAACAGAAACTTTCCAGAAAACAGAATTATAAAAACTGAAAAAGTACATCTTACAACTAAATAGAAAAACTGATTTTGTTGCACCTGTATTGTGTCTATATTTAACAAGTTCATTACTACTCTACAAACATGATCTTCTTAAGTAGGTGGTATTCATAAAAAGTTCAACTGACAGCAGTAGAGTCAGAGAGAAAGATTCAGAGAGCTTGACAGGATGTCAGCGTGTGTGTGAATGTCATCCACAAAAAACATACAGTATGTTCAATTGTAAATAGAGATCTAAATCATCTACTTGCTGTCAGGGGTAATATTTTGAGTCACAAGAGTAAAACACCCTTTTCCAAAAAGAAAGCGATGGATGAGAGGAGAGAATCTAAATCATCTGGAGATCATGTGCTCTCAGAGACTGAACCGGTGTTCATTTCACTATTGAAATAATTGTAGTCAAAATATTTGTTGAGAATTGTTTTGTTTTTTTAACACAAGACAGGTATAACATTTTTGGGTAACATATTCAGACCTAACAAATATCAAAAAGACAGAGGAATAGCAATGAACTACTTTCTGTTTTAAGTCTTATTCACTGACCCGCAGCTCATGATTAATAAAACTGTTTCCTGCAGCTCACAAATATATAGCTTGTTTAGGAGTTGATTTATCTGCTTGAACTGTTGCTGTACTGATAAAGAGCCTCCTACTGAAGATTCAGAAACGTTCTGTCTCTGTAAGCAAAGTTACCTCATGTCACTAGTTCTGGAAGGAATAGATTTACTGCCATGGACGCGGGAAGGGGGGTGCTGAGGGGGCTGCAGCACCCCCATCTGTTGGCGGAGAGTTGTAACTGCAACGCCAAAAAGTTCACTAAACAAATCAATACAAACGTTTTATTTTGAGTTACTATTTTTGAGTTAGCATTTTAGTGTAAGCAGTCTATAAAAAGCTTCACTATATAAGAGAAAGTGATCATGCGGTGTGCTTCTTCTGTTGCTCTGCTATAGAATAGAAGCTTGTCAGTGCAGACAAGATCAGGGATAGGAGTTTTGTGAAAGCAGGGTTTAACAACTGGGGAAAGGCAGGGGAAACATTTAGGGAGCATGAGAAGTCCCATCAACACACAGGCCGTCAACAAACTGGCAGCATTAAAACGAACACCGATGAATGCACTGCTCTCACAAGCTGTTGCTAAAGAACCGCACCCCAAACCCTGACTGAC